TGGACAGCTCTTAGGTGGCTTCCTACGAACCCAAACAGCGGTGGGTAGTACCTAGTTGGCTTCCTACGAATCCAAACAGCGGTGGGCAGCTCCTAGGCGGCTTCTACGAATCTAAACAGCGGTGGGCAGCTCCTAGGCAGCTTCCTACGAACCCAAATAGCGGTGGACAGCACCTAGATGGCTTCTACAACACCGGGCAGCAGCTTTGGACAGCAACCTACAGTGCCCCTATACTCCAAACAGTGGCTTTGGAGCTTTGGACAGCAGCCTGCAGCGCTTCTACAACACCGGGCAGTGGCTTTGGAGCCTTGGACAGCAGCCTGCAGCGCCGCTATACTCCAAACAATGGCTTTGGAGCTTTGGACAGCAGCCTACAGCGCTTCTACAACACCGGGCAACGGCTTTGGAGCTTTAGACAACACCCTACAGCGCCCCTACACTCCAAACAGTGATTTTGGAGCTTTGGACAGCACCCTATAGCGCCCCTATACTCCAAACAGTGGTTTTGGAGCTTTGGACAGCACCCTATAGCGCCCCTATACTCCAAACAGTGACTTTGGAGCTTTGGACAGCAGCCTACAGCCCTTCTAAGTTTCTTATAACTCCGGGCCTATACCACCGAGCAGCGGCTAGGAGCTTCGGATGGTGATCCTACGCTTCCTCCAGCGATCTACAACCTAAAACAGCACATATCCAGCGGCTTTTAAGCTTCTCACAGCACTCTGCAGTGATTAGCAGCTTCCAAACATACAATTACAGCAAAAATCAGCTTCCAATCAGCACTTCTACAGTTTTCAATGATTCCAAACAGCAATTTCGAAGTTCCAAACAGTACCCTACGGTCTCCAATGACTCCAAAAAGCAATTTTGAAGTTCCAAACAGCACTCTACAGCCCTCCCACAGCTCTCGCAACAGCTTTCCAAGTATTTTTCAGCACTTTCCAGCCCTCTTAAAACCACCAAACAACAAAGAAAACTTTCTCAAAACAGTCCCGAAACGGCAATTTAAAATCCACAAACCGCAATTATGTAACTCTTTAAAAGATATCCTTAAGCTTTTCAAAATAGTGGCAAAACCTCTCCAACTAGATGTAAAAACTACAGCGAAACCAATCCCAAAACATCTCCAAACAATGTGCTTTTAAAGACTCCAAGACTCTAGCAAAATCAACACTTAAATGGTGCACAAAGCTCTCCAAAAACAGTGAACGAAAGGATCCTTAAATGGTTCACAGAGCTCCTCAAAAATAGTGAACGGACTGGCACAAAAAAAAACTTGCATTTAAAGGCTCCAAAACATTTAGCAAATTAGCACTTAAATGGGGTACAAAGCCTTCCAAAAACAGTGAACGAATGGGCCCAAAAATCTGCATTTAAGGGCTCCAAAACAGTAGGCAAATCATCACTTAAGTGGTGCACAAAGCCTTCTAAAAATCGTGAACAAAAGGGCCCAAAAATCTACATTTAACGGCTCCACAATAGTGAATAGACGCAACAGAAGAAAGTTAAGATTCATTAAGCATGCTCACAAAATCAGCTACCACGACCTTATGAATAAATCAAAATAATATTTCTACTAACATAAATAACATCATGCGTGAATGGTCTAGAGTTTCTCAGAAAAGTTACTAATGGGGTACTTGCATGCATACCACCCACTCTTATGTATTTGCTCGTCTAACACCCAAACCCCACGCTTATAGAATTCAGATCCTTTATGACATGCCAAAAAAAAATCGATAAAGCCTTTCAAGGGTAAGTAAAAAAATATACATTTGCAAAGAGATGCGGCTCATAGTGTTAGATAAAAAAAAAAGTGGTGCCGATGTAAAAGATAAAATAAAGCTTAGGTGCTAAACAAGTAAATGCAGGTGTTCCTCGCATAGGATCATATTGAAGCTTCAAGCTTTGTCAATATTAGATTTTTCACAGTAAGATAGTCAAAATTGTAACTGTCGCATGGCTAAAACTACTCATAAGCTTTGTTTTACATGATTAAGTCATGCAGGTATGCAAGCTTTGCCATAAGACATAGACTTGAAGCTTCAGTGAAATAAATCACACGAGGGGCGCTGGAATTTCTTTTCGAACCGTTTACACAATACTTGCAATTAAACACATATGAGTCTTGAAACCAGAGAGGAAGAACATATCTCAACCACGTTATTCCAGAAATAAATCAGAGAAAACCAGTGGCAAATATGTGAATAAAAGAAGACAAAGGTTGGGGTACTTCTTACACTTGGAGTAATCGGAGAACAGGGATGGGAGAGGGAGGTGCAGACGAGCTTTCTGTTCGCAGAGGAGGCGCAGGTGAGGCGAGCGGGTGAGGCGAGGTCGAATGGGAAGGAGGGAGCGCGGCCTTTGGTTCAGGGAGGAGTGGCGGCTTCGGTTCACAGAGACGAGTCGCACGAACGTTTTTGTTTGCAAAAGAGGAGCCGGGGGCACGGGATTGAGAGACGCAGGCGAGCTTTCTGTTCATAGAAAAGGCACGGGTGAGGCGCGACAGGAGTGGGAGAGCTGAGCGGAAGTGAGTGGGAGAGTTGAGCGGAAGTGAATGGGAGAGGAGGAAGACGAGCGGAACAGAGGGTCTTCAGTCGAATGAGAGCAGGGAGTCGAGGCTCTCGTGCGAGAGAAAGAAATAGGCCAGCGGGAGAGGAGGCGTTACACGTA